TATCGATTTGCCAGCCGGCGACTAGCGCTCTATGACACTGTGGATTCAGCACATGAAACCATACTGCTCAAGGGCTAGGCCGGAGTTATGGGACCTATTTGTATTCCCACCAAGACACCTTTGTCTCGGTGCCATCTCTTATTTCCAACCAGTAGTCAGCTGTTTTTCTTCTTCACCCCAGAAGCAAGTCACTGCTTGGCAGTCCAAAGCCTTCTCTGAGCTCTAAAACACTCCTATCAAAACCAGATTTCACACTTTCTCTTCAAGACAATAAAGCATCCCATTTATTAATTTACACCCACAGGTCAAGCATTCTCATGTTTATGCAGCTCTTTGTACCCGTGTTTCCCGTTTAGTGCGCTTTGTTGCATGTGTTTTTGGTGTCAAGAGTGATGGCGCTCTAAATGCAGGAAATGGGCCTTGGGGAGTCTTTGCTGACTTGCAGCAGGAAGCTAATGAGATTAGCAAAACCTCGGAGGCTCCGTTAACATTATAAAACTCCCTATAAGGTAGAACGAGACAAGAAATGAGAAGAGGGAAGCATCGTAGCTCTGATCAGAGCAGTGAATCTGACTGCATCTAACACACTATGTAAGAAGAAAAGAAATACAGCTGAATGATTGGTGCAATTTAATAAAAGCGAAAATGTTAAAGCTAAAAGAAGCACAACTAAAGATTAAATGTAACAAAAGGATAGCTAACCATGTGGAGGTTCTACAAGGTGTTCCTAAACCTAAGATCTAATCTGACTCATCTGATCCGATCTGTCACAAAGTTTGTATTATTTTTACAATAAATTAATATAATTGTTATGTCCTGATGCATCTCAGTTATCCAGGTAGAAAAAATCAAAAAGGAAAAATAAATAGGTCCTCTGGATGGTTTCTTCTTTAGTGAAACGTTTCGTCTCTCCTCCAAGAGACTTCTTCAGTCTGATGAGTTTCAGGTGAACTCAGCCTTAAAAGCACTGCCTCCACCTGGACAAACAGGTCAGTCACATGCAAAAGAGGGCCATCGCCTAACAATAGGCTTGATTAGCTCTATTGTTCATAGAAGGTCATGTGCCCCATCACCTGACTTATTGGTTTGAATGCTGAGGTTCTTAGATGTCGTGTCATGTGTATGTAGTGAATGCAGGCGGGGCTCAAAGTCCCCTTGTTTTTGTTTTTTCCCTCTTTGTGTTGGTTATTGTTGGGGCCCTGATTTACACCTGGTGTAAATAATTAATTTCATTCAACAATCATATAAAACAGCAGATGCATACAAGAAAAATATATAATTTACAGGTAACAATAATCTAAACCAGACCTAACGTCAGTCAGTAACTTAGACATTTTAGCCTTCAACTTATAATAAAGAATATTTCTTATTTCTTACCTGTCATAAATAATAATAATGATGAATATTAAACAGTCAACACTTAAAAAATGTTCACTGCACCTGGTTATAGGATGAAACTTGTCTCTACTGATATTAATTAACCATCTTCTCAACAGCTCAGGTTTGTCTAACAGAAACTTAAAAAAAGGTAAATATATAATATTATTTTACTCAGTGGAAATATCACATAAATCAGTCAAGCCTATAATAATAAGTAATTTATGTTAAATTGCAGCATGATTCAGCAGAGTGCTGGTACAGAAGAGAATATTTGCTAACCAGTTCAATTATTAACAGTGATGACATCAGCTTTATAAGTTTATTTTTATTTTAAACCGTTTCAAAATTTGCTTCAGTTCTGCTCAGATCACATCCACATCGAGGTAAATAAAATCAAATCTGTTTAACTTGTGAAATGAGACATTTTCCTGTTTCTCTTCTGTTGGTAAATCCATAACGCACAGCTTTCTGACAGTTTTATATACATTAGATACACTCTAATGTGTTAATAACATTTTTTTTAATATTAATAGTTTTTAAGATTTCTACATCACCAGTCAGTAAATCCAGACTTGATCATTCTGCTTTGGGCCGTAGCTACAGTAGATCACACGGTCAGGTGAGACTCTAGTTGTTCTATAGACCTCTGTGGGGTCCATACATACAGCGGGTAAAATAAGCATTGAACACGTCAACATTTTTCTCAGTAAATATATTACTCGAGGTGCAAATGACATGAAATTTTCAACAGAAATTTTCACCTCTTTCATAGATTTTCTATTGGATTCAGGTCAGGTGATTGGCTGGGCCATTCCAGCAGCTTTAGTTTCTTTCTCTGAAACCAACTGAGAGTTTCCTTGGCTTTGTGTTTGGGCTCATTGCTGAAATGTCCAGCCACATTTCATCTTCATCATCTTGGTAGATGGAAGCATATTTTTATCAGTAATGTCTCTATACATTTTCCATTCATCCTTCCTTCATT